GATTGGTGGGCTGAGGGTTGAGCTGACTTTACTGAGGAGCCTCCACTCGGGTGAGGATCCACTTCTCGCTCTGAGCACGGGCCCCGCTCTCTTCCAGTCTCCTGCGAGAACGGCGGCACGGCCGTGGGCGAAGGCTGCGCTTGCCCCCCTGGCTTCAACGGCACCCGCTGTGAAAGGGGGGACTCCTCCAAGGCCTGCCAGAACCGCGGCACTGCCGTGGGGACCAAGTGCTACTGCCCGCCGGGGGTCAAGGGCGCCTTGTGCCACGTCCCTGATGAAGCCAGCGCCTGCCGGAACGGCGCCACGGCCTTTGGCACGGAGTGCGTGTGCCCGCCGGGCTACTGGGGACCGACCTGTCAGTACAAGGAGCAGCCCAGCTCGTGCCTCAATGGCGGCACGCTCCTGGAGACGGGGTGCCACTGCCCCACGGCTTTCTGGGGACCCCGGTGTGAGTGCGAATACCCAGAGACCCCCCCAGCACCCACTGAGAACGTCACCACCCATGAAAATGTCTCCACCTCTGCAAGCAGCACAACTCTCCATCCATCCCTCAATGCATCCGAGATCAACAGCACCGTGACCACTACCAGGGCCACCACGGAAAGAAGTCCGGCCAACACCACGGAGCAGGTCACAATGTCCCCAATGAACATCTCTACTAGTGCGACGACAGCTTGGCTCAACAGGACCAGTGAGGCCACCACGACACCTGGAAACACCAACACGACGTGCTCTGGAAACTGCACGTCTCTGGGTGGCACCCACAATGGCACGGCAGAAGTGACCCAGCACCCTCCGAATGACACGTTTCCCACCACAACGAGTCCCGTCTCCGAGTCCAACCACACAACACGGGTGACCCAGCACCCCCTGAACAACACGTTCCCCACCACGATGACAAGTCCTGTCTCCGAGTCCAACCACACAACGGGGGTGACCCAGCACCCTCCAAATGACACGTTCTCCACCACGATGACGAGCCCTGTCTCTGAGTCCAACCACACAATGGGGGTGACCCAGCACCCTCGGAATGACACGTTTCCCACCACAACGAGTCCCGTCTCCGAGTCCAACCCCACAACGGGGGTGACCCAGCACCCTCCAAATGACACGTTCCCCACCACGATGACGAGTCCCATCTCTGAGTCCAACCACACAACAGGGGTGACCCAGCACCCCTTGAATGACACGCTCTCCACCACTACGGTGAGACCCGTATCTGACTCCAGCACCACAGTAAATGCATCTCTGGCCACCCTGAAGGTGCCCACCTCATCCCCCAACATCACAACAGTGCCCGTCTCACTCAGCAGCACAATCAGCCCATCCCTCAGCAACTTCTGCCATTACTTCCTGCACTGGTATCTGAACGGGTCCAGCCCCAAATCAGGTGGGTCCCTGGAATGGTTGTTGGGATGGTCTCTTCTTTCCAAAGCTGGGGTGGACTTAAGATCTCCTGATGGGGATGGGAGTTGGAATGAGGTCTCCTTCCCAAGGCTGGGAGGGACATTGGATCTCCTGATATGGGATGGCTGTAGGGATGGGGTCTCTTTTCCAAGGCTGGGGTGGGCATGATGTTTCCTAAGTTAGGATATAAAGGGGATAGCGGGAGCAAAGCAAGGACATGGGTCTTCCCATGGGTCTTCCAAGACACCTGGGTCTTCTGCCCTGCGCAGAGTGGGTTGGATCAGAGACACCCAGTTGTGCTCCTGGCCCTCAGAGCCCTCTTTGTCACATCTCTTGCAGTTGTCTGCCACAACGGTGGTGTTGCCAACGTAACGGAGTGCCTCTGCCCGCCCGGCTTCTCCGGCTCCTCTTGCGAGACCGTGGATGACGCTGACCAGTGCCACAACGGCAGCACGGCTGTGGGCAATAGGTGCATCTGCCCGCCAGGACTGTCTGGGCCTCGCTGTGACACCTACGACAATGACACGGCCTGCCAGAACGGAGCCACGGCTGTGGGCACCGAGTGCTATTGCCCCAGTGGGTACTACGGGCCCCGGTGCGAGTTCTACAACGCAAGCACCACCACCGTCCCAACCATCCACCCCAATGTCACCAGACCTAAGTCCACCCCCAAGGCACCTGTTGCCACCGTCCAGAGCACCACCTCAACCAGGAGCACCACCAGAACGACCCCCAAGCCAACTACTAAGAGCACAACTACTGCCAAGAGCACCAAGACCACCACTACCCCCGTCCCTACAACCACAGGTTGGTGAGGGTGCCCAGGCTGGGTGTGAATCCTTCTGGCACGGATGCTTCACTCGCAAGTCCCACATTTCCCTGCCTGGGAGAGGGTGGTCGGGCATTGATTTTTACCTTATCCCTGCCCTACATCCACCCCCAAAATGGGGGCTGCAGTGGTGGATCTGGGATGTAGTGATGGATGAGGATCTGGGAGGGGATCTGAGGGGCCAGATTCAACAGGGCTGGAAAGGGAATTGGGTGCAGATCCACTAATTCTTCCGCCTGTCTTCCTGCAGATCCTTGCCAAAACCAGGGGGTCTGGACAGCGACAGGTTGTAGCTGCCAGGCGTACTTAGAGGGAGACTACTGCCAGTTCTCATCACCAACCATCGACATCACACCAGGTAAGTGATGTCCCTCGGGTAAGTGATGTCCCTCTGTCCCCTTCTGAGGTCCCCAGGATGGAGATACCTTCCTGGGAGGCCTTGGGCCACCACGCTCCATGGTCACGCAAACATCCTTCCTTCCTATGAAGAGGTGGGCTCCTTTGTGGGGATGACGGCGCGGGTCACCAACCGTCTCTTCTCCGAGGGTATGGGTGACTCCTCATCCACAGCCTATCGCGGCTTCGCTGACGAGTTTGAACGGACGGTGAGTCCCTCCCAGCACTGCCCCATGGCAGATGGGGAGGAGATGTCCACCTCGTAGGATAATTCTGCATGGCAGCCCCCAGGCTGGGAGGACCTCACAGGTCACACCTCTTCCCCTTGTCTCCCCAGATGGACCGGATCTACCAGAACGTCTCTGGATACCACAGTACCAAGATCTTGAACCTCAGGTGAGTGCACCCCCTGTCCCACGGCTGTCCCCACCTTGCTTCGTGTGGCCCCAGCAGAAGGGCCATGCGAGGAGCTGCACACCTCATCAGGACGCTTTCACTCCCCGTAGAAACGGCAGCATCGTAGTGAACTACAGGGTCCTGCTGCACCCACCACCCGAAGTCAACTACATCCTCGAACGCAAGTCCCAGGAGCTGCTGGAGACGCTGAAGGCTGTGGCCCAGCCCCAGAACTGCAGCCACACAGCGAGTAGGGGCCTGGGCAGGGCTGAGCGGGTCCTGGAGCGGGTAGCGAGGAGGGCAGCAATCGTAATAGCAGCAGCTCTGCAATTAGGGTCCGATCATCTCCCTACCCCTCTCTTTGTCACTGCACGGTGATGGTCTCCAGTGACGTCTTGCTCTTTCCACTTCCAGAAGAGCTCTGTTTCAGCCCTTCTTCGTCTAAAGTCACCTTTGTCGAGAAGCCGAAGGTCAACTATACGGGTAAGCGTGGGGCAGCGCACAGGCTCCATAGGGAGCGCGGGTGATGCAGGGCTGGGACACCTTGTAACGTGGTCTCTCCTCTCCAGAGATCTGCAGAAAGCGCGTGCCGAGCAAATTCAGACCATTTTACCACCCCTACATGATCGGGAAAAGTGTCTTCTGCGTCACCAACTGCACCCTCAACGTCCCCGGCAGCATCGGCTGCAACGGCGGGAACTGCCGGGTGACTCAGGACGGACCTCGCTGCTTGTGGGTGGCTCCAGCCCTTGCCTTGGCCTTGGCCAAAACCTAAACCTCACTCAACCCTAATCTCACTTATCCTTAATTTTAACCTTTATCCAACCCCAGCTCCACTCTGATACTGATCTTATCCCTGATCTTGGTCCTAGCCCTAACTCCAACCTAAACTTCACCCTTATCCAGATCTTTATCCCTGCTCAAACTTCCTCCTAATAGTGATGTGGTTCCAGGCCAAGCCCTGATGCTAATCCTCATCTTAACACCGTTCCTAAACCTAACTTTAACCCTAACCTAGTCTCAATCACAGCGCTAACCTCTTAGCCCCAATCTGGCCCTTAATCCCACCCGAACCCCGACCTCAGCCCTAACCCCAAACCTGCCTTTAACACATGGATGTGGGACCAGGACTCCTGGGTTCTCCACCAGCTCTGAGAAGGTCCCAGGGACCACAATGGGTCTCCTAGGGAATCCTGACCCACAATCCCAGGCCAAATCCTGGGGATCAGGGTCAGGGTCCCCTTCCCACACCGTGTCTCTCCCACAGCTGCCCAGGTGTGCCCTGGTACCTGACATCGGGTGACCGCTGCGAGACCCACATCAGCAAACTGGGGCTGGGGCTGGGCGTGGGGCTGGGCCTGGGCCTCCCCCTCCTCCTCCTGCTCGTCCTCTGCCTTGTTCTCTCCACCTGCCTGGCCCGAGGGAATTCAAAACTCGGCAAGGACAGGTAAAGGGCTTGAGGGAGGGCAGGGGACATTCCTGGGGGCGGGGAGGGCACGTGGACCCCTGAGGACCAAAACTGGAGCGTGATAATGAGCCAAAATGACCTCAAAATGCTCTTTGGCCAAAACCTGAGGGCAGCAGCTTGCCCCATGAGGGAGGGTTAACATCAGCCCCACTGCTGGGATGCCGGAGCCTGCAAGCTCCCCTCTCCGATTTGCCCCCCCAAGGCGTCTCACTGATGTTTGCTTTGCAGTGAGAGCAGCGAGGGGAGCAGCTGGCTGGGCAACAGGAGCAAGTCCCACGCCACCGGCATCTACCACGTGAACGGCAGGGGCTCGGCGCCTTGGAGAGGTGAGAGCCCACTTTTCTTTCCTCTCTCCTCCCCAGCCTCCAACAGCCCCAGCGCTTACAAGCCCAATGAGGAGGTCGCGTCCTTCTCCGTGCCGGTAGGTACCCGGACAGCGCTGGTGGCCTGGGCTGTCCTGCGCGATGCCTCCAACCTCTCCATCTCACAGCGCTTTCCTCCTCCTTCTTGCAGATGCAGCCGCCGGCAGAAGCTGCCGATTCCCTGTGACGCCCGGTGGATCGGGAAGCGGGGATTCAAAACTCAACGTCCCCTCGAGATGGGGCTGGGCAACGGGAAAACCCTGGGGGGCCACTGGGCCCCACACTGAGGGGGATGATGAGGGCAGAGGGACGGCGTGGAGAGGTCCAAGCACAAGGATTCGACTCCCCTCTTGGTCTACAAAAGCCCGTGCTGGGGGGCTACAGCAGGGCCGGGTCCGTGCACGGCGCAGGAGAAGCCACAGCAACCACAGACTTTGGTCTTTGGGGAGGGGATGCAGGAAAAGCCGCCGGTATTTCTTGACACCCTGTTTTGGGGGAGATGCAGGTCAATTCGGTACCTCCGTGAGAGAGGAGGGGTCTCTCTTGCCCCCCACCCAAGTACCCCTTGCTGGAGAGGATGCCGCTGCATCTACTCAACATCTACTTAATGCAGCCAGGCTTGGCTCCCCGCTTGGCTCCTCGGCTGGAGGAGGAGGAACCTCATCCCCCGGAAATTGTATTTATTAAAGTATTTATTTTACCTCCTGAGACAGAACCAAGGCAAACAAGAGGGGGAGGATCATGCGGAAAACCCGAGGGTGGGGAGCACCCTCTGGGCGTTGGTGTCCCAGGATACGGGCCAAAGCCAGAGCTGCTGCTCCAGCCTGCACAAATCCGGAGCAGATGCTGCCCTTGGTGCAACCAGGTCTAGAAAGCACCAGTTGCGGTCGCTGCCCCTCTCTCCACCTCTTTGGGGATGGGAAATGCTGCAGCCCCCGCCAGTGTTTGCAAAGCACCTTCATCCTGGGAAAACGGAGGTCCCGCTGCTCTGGGACAGGGGGGAAAAGCCCCCCAGGACTGAGGGTTGCCCACCTGGCACCCTAGCGCACTGGTTTAGCAGCCCTATCCAGAAATGCAATAAAATTGTCTTCTCCTCGCCCACATTCCTCACCCCTCCCACGGCCCTGGTCAGCTGCCTTGCAGCAGTATCACCGAGATTAAGGGTGTTTGCTTTTGGGGTGGAAAACGGCCCTTCCCTGGCTGCGGGAGCACACACAAGGGCTGAAGAAAGCAAGGCAAAGGAGAGGGCAAGGGGGGCAGCCCTGGAGGGTGCCAAAATGATTTCTGGGCTGTTTCTTGGGAGTTTTCCACCCCCTGCTACAACAATGAGGTTGGAGAGCCCCGGGTGCAGCTGCAGGACTGAGCTCCAGCCAAGCTGGGGTCAACATTTGCTCGCTTTGCCCCGTATTAAAAATGAACCCAGGCACTTGCAGTGGCCCAGCCATGGGCCAAGAAGCTCTTGACGTGAGGGGCAGGGTCATGTATGGGCATGGGGCGGACAAACCCGTCTCCATCCAGCCATGGCAAGTGCAGTCCAGCGTCTCGGAGGACTTGCCCTTGTACCAGGGGTTGACCTGGCCTCTCGCAGAACACGCTAATTTTAGTCCCCGGCTGGCTCCAACTGCCACAAACTCTCGTAACTTTCGTTTCTTGTTGGCAAACCCTCATAACTTGGTACTTGCCGTTGTGGCGTAGCTCGTAAAATGAAGGGCGCGATGAAAGAGAGTGGTTTCCTCTGCCTGCCAAGGGGCAAAGGTCCTTGGCACCTCTTCTCCTTGGCTCAGTCTCCGCCGCTCGCTTCCGCTGTATCAGCGGTTGGTGCCGTTCACGGCTCTGGGATGCTGCTCCTGTTGTCTATGGACGGGTGACTTGGGAAGATGTTCTCCATTCTCCCTCCTTTCCTGCTCCTCTTGATCTTCCAAGGTATGATGAGTGACTGGGCCTTTCACCGTGGCATTTCTACATGTTTTGGGGGTGGAAATGGAGGAGCAAAGTGTTGTCCTCCCCAGGAGATGGGAGATATCATTCCTCGGAGTTTCTTAGCTGTGAAACTGCCCCTGAAGTGCTCATCTCCTCCTAGGTTGTAAGATGTCCCCAGGACGGTCACATCCTCCTGGGGGCGTGAGTTTCTCCTCCATGAGCCAACGGTTGGCTTGTGCTGTGCAAGCTCAGGGGTCCCAGCTACAGGGACTCTACCCCTTGCTCTGAGCTGGCAGCCTCAATCCTCTCCATCTAATCCCATCCCACCCATGGGGCTCCCGGGGCAGATGGAGGGGCATCCTGGGGTCAACAGCTTGGATTTATCCCCCGAGATGGCGACAGCAACGGGGCACCTTGCTGCTCCAAGAGGGCCTCCACACGGTGATCTGCCCCCACTGCCGGCTGGTTTTCCCAGGAAGGGCGACCCATGACATCTCATGTGGGGTCTCCTCCAGCCTTGCCCACCCCACACCACCTACGAGCCCTGCTACCGGGGTACAGGTTGCACCGGGGCAGCTCGCAACCTGCGTCAATATGACCACGTTCACGAGGGCTGACCGGGCTCAGCCACGTCCCCATCATGGCCAACCCGTCCATTGGGGAGCTGCTCCCTTCATCCCCCAGCACCGTTCACAGCTTCTGCTCCAGCCTTCGGAGTGTTTCCATGCCCATCCTCCCTCCGCAGCCCTTCCAACTGCCGCGGCCATCGCATCAGCCCTTGACGAGCTCCACCAGCTCCACGGTGGCCAATCTGCCCCCTGCCCATGTCCCCCCTCCCCGCTGTGCACACCACCGTGCTCTGGAGCCATCAAAACTCCTTAAGTGCCAGGGAGCTCATCACATAACAGAGGCTAATTTGGGCAAAAAACAGCATGGTCTCTTCTCAAGAGCTTCATTTAAAAGCTGGAGCAGACAAGTCTCTCCTTTTTTTTTTCTCTTTCTTTGTTTTCTTTTGTTTAAAAAGCATCTTTTCTTTTAAAGTTAGCAGAGCTCAAACCAATTTAAGCAGCCTGCGGAAGTATCAAGGATTTCCCCATAGAACTTGCTCTGAAGGACCCATCCTTTTTTCCCCACCTCTCCCAGCATCAACCCACAGCACAGGAGCCATGAGTTGGCAGGAGACATGAGGGAAGGGGGTTGACCAGGAATCGAGGTAGTCCAAGGTTCCAGCCAGCCCCTTGTAACACCTCCTCAGCACGACGCACCATGGGTCTGCACCCATCACTGAGCCCTGGAAAGGTGTTGGGACCATTCTGCCCCAAAAACATCCCATGCTATGAGCAACCATCCCCCAGCTGCAGTGGGTGATGGGCGCCCAGGTAGAGCTTCTTCTTAACAGTCCCAGGGGAGGGCACAACTCGTCTCTTAGCCCGTAGAAGAGCCCCGTTCCTGACAGGGACGTAGTAGGAAACAAGAGCTTGCAGGGAATGCCAAGCATCAGGGGGGAACGTCCACGGATGGGAGGATCAGGTGTGCCATGAGCAGAACCCTCTGACAGCATCTGGCACACACCTCTCTCCACAGAGGCTTCAACCACCACCACGGCCTCCTCCGAAACACCCACAGACACCTCAGAACCTCCCACCACCTTCTCAACAACCACCACACACACCTCTGCAACTTCCATGAACAAACTCCTCACAAACCCCTCGGCCACAAACAAAAACCCTGACGGGACCTCCACAATCACCATGGACACCTCCCCTCACACTTACAACTCAGCCTTGGGCATCTCCTCCACAGACACCTCTGACACCACCAGTGGCACTTGGCAAACCACAGCACACACCTCAGCACCTACAACCAAAACCTCTGCTCACACCATCCCCATGACCTCAAGCACCAACAATAGCCCCCTCACATCCGCCATGGACAACTCACAGGCCACCACACAACCCACACCAGGTTCCATAGAGAGCTTGGCTTCTGTGGCAACCTCCAGTACAACCTATGCCACGGTGTCGGAAAACATCCCCTCCACCACCAACATCTCTCCAGACACCACCAGCACCTCTCCAACCTCATCGCACTCCTCAAACACCCTCTCAGCCAACCAGCAAACGACCATGAAGACCATAATCACCTTCACAGACACTTTCACCTCCGCCATGGACACCTCTTCGTCCTCCGCTCACACCTCCAGCACCAACAGCAGCACACGGCAAAGCACTGCAGAAACCTCAACACTTCCCAACACCCCTTTGACCTCCTCCACCATCCCAGGCATCAACAGCAGCCCTCCCACACACACCACAACCACCTTCAACACCACAACCAACAAAAACACACCAGCTTCTACAGACACCTTGGGAACCCCAGCAGCCTCCAGCACCGCTTATGCAGACACCGTCACCACCATCTTGGCCAGTACGGCCCTCACAGACACCTCACGCTCCACCAGCTCTAGCTCAGCTCCCACACAGAGCATGGCAAGCGCAGCTGCATCGGACATCACCTCCCACAGCCTCTCCACCACCTCCACAAGCACCACAGGAACCTCCCAAGTCACCACAGGCACCACGCCAACATCAGCAGCCTTCTCCACCAACACCAGTACGGGCACTTTGGAAACTCCCACCAACACCCCTACAACCTCAGGAGCCTCCTCGGCTACTCTGGGCACCTCTGCAACCACTGGAGAAACCTCACATGCCACCATGGACAGGGACGTCTCTATCACAACCACCTTAACAGCCAGGACATCAACCACTGAGATGCCCACGGACTCTGCAGCAAACAACACAGGAACACTGCACACCTCCATGCTCACACCTCTCTCCACAGACACCTCTACGACCACCACGGCCTCCTCCAAAACATCCACAGACACCTCGGAACCTCCCACCTCCTTCTCAACAACCACCACACACACCTCTGCAACTTCCATGGACACACATGTCTCTACAGACACATCGGACACAAACAAAAGCCCTGACGTGACCTCCACAATCACCATGGACACCTCTCCTCACACTTACACCTCCTCCATGGGCACGATCTCTACCTACACTGATGACACCAGTGGCCCCTGGCAAACCACAGCACACACCTCAGCACCTACAACCACCATCTATGCAGATGCGACCACCACCGCCTTGGCCAGCACGGCCCTCACAGACACCTCACGCTCCACCAGCTCCAGCTCAGCTCCCACACAGAGCATGGCAAGCGCAGCTGCATCGGACAACCCCCCCCCCAGCCTCTCCACCACCTCCACAAGCAGCACAGGAACCTCCCAAGTCACCACAGGCACCACGCCAACATCAGCAGCCTTCTCCACCAACACCACTACGGGCACTTCGGAAACTCCCACCAACACCCCTACAACCTCAGGAGCCTCCTCGTCTACTCTGGGAACCTCTGCAACCACTGGAGAAACCTCACATGCCACCATGGACAGGGACGTCTCTATCACAACCACCTTAACAGCCAGGACATCAACCACCAAGATGCCCACGGACTCTGCAGCAACCAACACAGGAACACTGCACACCTCCATGCTCACACCTCTCTCCACAGACACCTCCACCACCACCACGGCCTCCTCCAAAACATCCACAGACACCTCGGAACCTCCCACCACCTTCTCAACAACCACCACACACACCTCTGCAACTTCCATGGACACACACGTCTCTACAGACACCTCGGTGACAAACAACAGCCCCGACATGACCTCCACAATCAACATGGACACTTCTCCTCTCACTTATACCTCCTCCATGGACACGCTCTCCACCTCCACTGGCAACACCGGTGGCTCCTGGCAAACCACAGCACACACCTCAGTACCTACAACCACCATCTATGCAGACACCGTCACCACCGCCTTGGCCAGCACTGCCCTCACAGACACCTCACGCTCCACCAGCTCCAGCTCAGCTCCCACACAGAGCATGGCAAGCGCAGCTGCATCGGACAACACCTCCCACAGCCTCTCCACCACCTCCACAAGCACCACAGGAACCTCCCAAGTCACCACAGGCACCACGCCAAAATCAGCAGCCTTCTCCACCACCACCAATACGGGCACTTGGGAAACTCCCACCAACACCGCTACAACCCCAGGAGCCTCCTCGGCCACTCTGGGCACCTCTGCAACCACTGGAGTAACATCCGTTACCACTGTGGACATAGACATCTCTACCACAACCACCATAACAGCCATGGCATCAACCACTGAGATGCCCACGGACTCTGC